GGAACAAGTATCACAGTGAACAAATAATCATGCGATGAAGATATTATATAGGATACTACACAGATCTTTTAAGAAAATCATGTTCACACAGAACCAAAGATTAACACCAAGTTAATCAGCACACGGTCAAACACACATACAATAAATGCATAAATGACCCCACAAAAGATCTCACCACACTTATCATATCATATTCTGTGTTGCTAACAGCTCGAGAACACATATCTCCTCTCATTGTCTCCCATGTTCACTAGACTGATCGCTCAACTCATGTCAAACTAGTAGGTCACAATAGATCCTAAATCCACTAGATAATCCTCTATCACCACATCACTTCTCCCAACCTATGTGAATAATGAGACTCCATCTTACAGAAGTGATAGAAGTGTCTCTCTCGCACTCCACCTTTACAGGGTCTCTTTCACAGATAAAGGATTCTACACATTTGATCACATCTCCACTCGTCATCCAAATGTCACACTCTACATCCCTCGGTACAAAATATCATGTACCCCTAGGCATCTATACTCCATCTTACCAAAAGATGTCTAACACACTGCTAATGCATCCTAACCTACTATGCATGCAAACGATCACACCAAGTAATCACATTACCTCAAATTCATGCAAACACACATATCGAACAAATTGAAATGCAACATATAATCATGCAACAAGTTAGACAATCACACACATGTAGAAAGGATCACACACAGATACATATGTAGTAACTAGGTTTACTCTCTCAATAAACCTCACTGGGGTTATAGCTCGACCCCTCAACCGCATTCGTCTCACCTCTCATTTTACCTTTCAGCTTATCCTTCTTCTTGGGATAGTCCCTAATAAAGTGCCCAAACTTATCACAACTATAACACCGTCTACCACTAGACTTGTCCCGTCCCTTGCCCTTCATCTTACCGCCTTCATCACTCGAGTCACTACTTGAATCACCACTATTTTGAGCTCTACCCAAATTCATTTGCTTAAACTTCATCCTACTCCTTATTATGTGTAATTCACCACTCCTCTTATCTTCATTTTCAGCCTTAATTTCCATCTCATTACTCGTAAGTGAGTCTATGGCAATCTCGAAGGTCAATGTATCCTCACCATATTTAATAGCATTTTCAACTTCCTTATATGACTCAGGCATGAAATTAAGTAGAATAATAGCCTTGTAAGTTTCAGATACGGTTTCTTCACAGTTAAAAATATCTTGAACAAATTTATTGAAAATATTCATATTGTCATCAAAACCCTTTGAAGAATCCATTTTAGAACTGAAGAAATGCTCAAGAAGATAAAGTTTATTAGGAATAGATTTAAGTAAATACAGATCTTCCAACTTTTTCCAAAGATCTTGTGGTTTTCAATTTTCCTACTTTTCTCAAAACAGCTTCAGACAGGTATAAAATAATTGAGGTATAAGCAAGCTCATCGGCTTCTTCTTTTTGTTCTTTTGAAAAATTAGCTGAAAAATTGCTTTCAATATCTTTTGAAACCTTTTGTTGGACCAAAATATCTTTCATTTTTTGTTGCCAGATTGAAAAATCACATTTTCCATTGAAAATACCAAACTTGAAATGCGAAGACATTTTTGGAAAAACGAAGCAATCAAATGGACAAATAGATTACACAAAGTAATCCTACGGCCACAATATACACCGTTCTAGATTTCCAGGATTTCGTAAAACTCCCGATCTTAGATCAAGGGAACGTTCAAACGGGTAAGGTTTATGTATTCTAATGGAAGTAACAAGACAGCAGAATTTACGATGCAACAAAATAGGTATATCCAATCAACGAAATTTCACGACAATTTTAGCTCAAAGCACAATCGCTAATTTATCCAAAAATGAATACTCGAACACAAAAATTAAAAGCAACTAATCCTAATTTCTAGCACAAGCAATAGTTGTCAAGCAATGACAACTTCAAATCCTATTGATCACCCCACACGATGATCTGCTAGTACGATAATGTAAGGGTTTCAGCCAATTTACCAGAGCGATCTTATCTGAGTCCGTAAATTACGAGGAATGTGAATTTGTTACTTTTGGACCTTCACTCATCGCCCTAAAGTCATCGGCAATTAGTTAAGCAAAACTGAATCCCAAACATGCAGGGGCAAAATCATCCAAAATTTACAGCGCACCCAAAACAGAAAACTAACCACCACAAGGTCCGTCTCGTTGTCCGAAGAAAACTGCTTGAAGACACCGTCGTCGGAGGAACCTCCCCGAGCCCTCACGCGCCTACGCCAGAGCTCCACGCTTCAGTCGTCACACATCGTGGGTCCGACCACGCACCACCCACTCCGGTGCGCCTCGACCTGCTGAACACGTTGGTGGTCTCGGTTCGTCCAAAAGGTAAGTGGTTTCACCGAAAATCAACCAAATAGATCCGGCAGAAAATTGAAAAATCTGGACAGATCCGTTTCTGATTTTCTGGCAATTTTTAGACCGATTTCTAGTCAGTTTCAGGCCAGAAATTCCACCCCAACCTCGCTCTGATACCAAATGTTGAAGAAACGACCTTCAATGGTGGATTTTTCGGGCTCAAATCAAACTTACCAATCTATATATCAACCAATCAACCAAATCTTCAACCCACAGCCTCTATCCACTTATGGTTGCATTCCCCTTTTCTCACCCCCAAAGGGACAATGATATGATGGTGTTTGGAAGCCACAAAGGCCAAGAGAAAATTAGAAGATTGCAAGAGATAGCCAAAGTCTCTCTTCTCAAACAATAGGGTAAAACACACGGCTCTTGCAAGAGGAAGGAGGTATATATAGTTTTAGGTACATTACCAATTGGGCCAAAACAAAAAGTAATGGGCCAAGATACAAGGAAGCCCTCCTATAAGTGGATTTGGACCAAGGCAACATTAAACTCAATTAAGCTGCAACTAATAGCCCACATTGTTTTCAAGTCGAGTATATAAGTTGATTGGTTGATAAATATTTCACTCGTCGGCCTCGCCTATGAAATATAATTCGATACTGTTTAATGTCATTGCCCGAGATTATTGGGTATCAAAAACACACACACACACACAGAGTGTGCATGGAAATGATTTAGCAATGATCAACTGTACGCAATATAAGTATAAAAGTAATATCAACTGGGATTCATTATTAGAAAAGGAAATGTGAATCTTATTTTATTTAATTTTCCTTCTTCATAAGAGCGTCCAAAAAAATATAAAAAAATAATAGTAATATATAATAGCAAATTTCTAGGCGAAAATCCACATTGTTGGCATAAGACTGCATTACCAAGCGATTCACATGTGCTTAATCATTGACAGCAATATGGTTAATAGTAACATAAAAATTAATGAAGTTGACATATAACATAATTGATGAATTTGTCGGTCTAGTTAAATCAGCTTTATTAGCTTCTGAAATTGCTTTTTCATTCTTCATATTTAAATATTGTATTTTTCATTTTTACTTGAATCTAGACCTTGGGATGTGAATGATTTCAAAGATTGGCCAATTTGATTCCTATATTTCTAAAAAATTTTAACACTTGTTTCGTACAGATTAAAATCAAGGTTTTAATTTAAGTCAAAATAATCAATTAATTTTAACTACATATATGATTCACAACTTTACAACCACATGTTTCATCAATTTTTATCCCAAATTTAAAGAACAACATGAACTTTTTGAAATTTGGGACCCAAT